GGATCTTATAATTATTGCTATTTGATTGGAAACAGACGGGACTTGCCCGTCTTACTCCCTCACATAGTCACATTAAATATATCCATTAGAAGTTGACTTGTTATGTTATGATTATAATTTAATATTATATAATTATATAATTTGTTATTATCAGTTAATTATCGGAATTATTCACTACTTTTGCTATGTCCAGTACATACCGACGAATTTCCAATAATTCTTCCACATATAATCTATTTAAAAATTTTAAATACAATAAATTTAACTATCATGTATAAATAAGCCTATTGCGATAAATATTATTTTAGAGATTTGAGTATATAGTTTAACTAAACTGAATTTTTAATCATATTGTTTAAATATAGGCTAGTTAATGAATAATGATAAAATTACTTAAGATATTAAAATTTTGACATAATGAATATCAAGTTTTAAGTTACTACACTGAAAATTATCAATTAAAAACAATATCATACATTTAATTATAAAAGTTTAATGTTTTTATGRAGAAAAATATAAACTTAATTTAGTCAAAATGAAATTAATTAATGTGACCAACTGAGTCACATATAGGCCTATGGTGACCAGATATTAAAAAAGAAAAAGCAGTACTTTATAATATAGGCTAATATAATATTATGTTTATACATACATATATATATATATATATATATATATATATATATATATATCAATATAAATACGTAATTCATAAGCAAGCGTGATTAGTGGAAAAACGTATAAATTATGCATATATTATAAAGCATTTAAATAAAGGATACACAGACATCATAGATATAGAGATATAGCTATATAGATCGATAGCTATATCTGTTTGTCCTATATATACATTCTTAAATAGCTGGATCGATTGTGGCAAAATTTGGTACATAATTTTATTAGACTTATGGGCAGAAGATAGGTTAGGTTAGAATGTGATACCTATGCCTAAATATCATTCAATTTAATATTTAAATTGTTAAAATTATATTGATAAAACGAAGAAAATTACATAATGATATACGAAAGTGAATATCGCTGTAAGATTATAATTAGGGCTCGGAAGTTGATGCATTCTGCATTTTGTTTTATTTGATGTAGTCATTAATCTATCAAGCTAAAAATCCGATTTAGATGGTCTACTAAAATAATATAAAATATTTATTTTGCATTTTTTGCCTTTATTTCTCATTGATATCATTTTATCACGGTCCTACATTTTAAATAATTTTTTTTCGACAAATACGTAATTTTTTTAAAATATAGCGAAATTTTCTTAAACATAAATTTAACGCTTAATTTTTTTCATTAAATGTGCAAATGTCATAAAAATAAAATACACCTAATATCTTATTTTAACTTTTAAATATAGCTTATTGTTGTTAGTGTTACAAAAATAACTAGGTACACTAAAATTACTGGCCGTGGTCGAGCTGTTTGAAATAAGTTATATTTATAGTTTACACTTTATAGTWTATTTATATTTATAGTGTATTATTGTAAACAATAAAATGATTATTTTTCAATAACAGCTAACACGTATTGTAGCCACTATATTTTGTATAATATAATTTAGTATTCGACCGTCTAGTGTAGCGTGTTGTTGAATGTTATCCTGTCTTAAGAACTTTTTATTAAAAAATGCCTAAAAATAAAACTTCGACTAGTGCTCGTTTACGTGCGTTTATGTCTGAATTCGGAAGTGATATTTTTTCAACTGATGGATCTATACTTTTTTGTAAGATATGTGACGTTAAGCTTGCAGCAGATAAAAAGTTCACTGTGGAACAATACGTGTCACGTCAAAAGCATATACATGGTATTGAGCGCAAAAATTTACAAACTAAAAAATCAAAGTTTACTGACACAACCATCCAGAAAATGTGCATTTAATTATGATTTGTGTCAAGCCTTTTTATCGGCTAATATTCCGTTGAATAAATTATCTAATGACTGTTTTCGTAACTTTTTGGAAAAATATACAAGCAAGAGTATTCCGGTCGAATCGACATTGAGAAAATCGTATGTTGCCCAATGTTACGAAGAAACAATAATATAAAAAAGTATTGTGAAAATCAAAAACTGTGGATTTCTATCGACGAAACCACAGTGTGGAAGGCCGGTACATCGCGAATGTAATTATGGGTACGTTAGAAATTGGATACCAACGAAAAATATTTTTCCTTCACACAGAAGCACTGGAAAAAGCTAATCATACCAGCATTGCTAAATTATTGGATAAAGCACTTCATCTTTTATGGCCTCAAGGGATTAAATACGACCAGTGGCGGTTATAACTGACTTTTAAGGGGGGCGGAAATTATAAAAATCATAGGAAAATAATGAGTCGTTGGAATTTTTCCCCAATATTTTGAAATAATCCAAAATAGGTTCACCTTGTACTTACAATTAAATWAAAAAAAGTATAGTCACAGATGCACAGTTAATCAACCTTTTAATAATAAAAATCTACAATACAAGCATATTATGTCTTTTTTTTTTTAGCAAAACGTGTAATAATATATGTGAGTTTTTGAGTATAATATAGCGTTTATTATATTTTTAGATTTATATTAAGAGGACGCTACACCCGCATGTGTTGTCTCCGTCTTACAAGTGCGTAACATTGCAAAAACWGTTTSGCGCGGGAAAGAACCGAGAAAGATATAGTTATAACTTATAAGTTATAACTAAGAAACGAAAATTTCACCACATAAAAAGGAGGATTGTGTCTGTGCAATATCGTTTTTATTTTTTCGATATCGGAACTACAAAAAAGTTATTCGTGCTTAAAAACACACAAAATTGTAAGACGGAGACAACACATACAGGTGTAACGTCCTCTTAAAATTATCGTAATATCAGAATGGGAAATCTATTACATTATTGAGATTATTCCTAGCAGCCATATATATATATATATATATATATACATATATACATATATACATATATACATATATACATATATAAACAATGACACGCAACTTTCCGAATTACATATTACGTAGGTATACGTACATGTACTATAATAACAAAAATTAATAAAATGTACTACAATTATTTAAAAATACCCATACCGTATTATATTGCGCAAGACAACTTTACAAATTGCTGATACTATTTCTATAAATTAGAAACACAAAAAAATAGTACCATGATTAATACTTCTTTCAATAATTTATTATAAAATTTCAATAATAATTTA